TTCATCATCCAAAACCGATTTAAAAACATCGGCCAATGTACCAAATTTGCAAGTTCAACAAAAGAAATTAAAGTGCCCAAAATATTACAGACCAAATTTAAAAATTGTTTCCCAAAAGCAAATAAACAGAAGTTTCATCAACATAAAAAGGCTGCAAGGAAAGAGAGATTAGGAAGCAGTGCTCTGGTCATCATCAACAGCAAGATCCTCCAGCTTCTTGCTGATTTGAGACACAATGTCCCTCACTGTGGACTGTCTCCCTTGTTCTGAGCTCGTGACCAGTTTCTTCAGATCAGCATCAAGAGTGAGCACACTCTTCTTCAGTTCCTCCATCTTCACCTTTGTGTGCTCTTGTTCCTTCAGCACCCTCTGGAGCATCTCCTTCAACTCCTTCACATCCTCGCTGGAAACCTTAGGTGGGGAACTAAATGCTGCAAAACCTGAAGTAGATGCATACTTTCCCGAAGTAGGAGAGGTGGTAACTTTCTGCAGTTCCTCCTGTACCCCAGTTATATCAATGCAGATAGGTGCTGGGGCCTCCTTTTTCTTCATCAACCTCAAACTCTTCCTCTTCTTTCTTCCCCCTGTCTCAATAACCTCTTCCACCTGCCTTTCCTCTATCTCCTCTTATTTCTGCAACTCTTGAACAACATTCCCTATGGCCTCTCCTGCCTGATCTTCTCCTACTTCCCCCTAAACTGGTCCACCTACTTCTTTTGGCCTCTTATCTTCCTGCACAACTTTAAAATACCCATCTACAACTTTCATCTTATGGTTTTCAAGGAAAATGGGTTGTATATATTCGGTGTTTTTGAGGGGCAAGGGTTCTTTGTCAGCAAAGGAAATGCTAAAACTTTCAAACACATAAGAAAGCAGGTTACCATATCCAACCTTCCAACCTTTAGGAAGACAATGAGACAGGTGTTGGATTATGATAGAGGGGAAATTTATTTGGATCTTTTTGGCTAGACAGTAAATTAAGACAGAGTCAAGCTTGTTGGCACTGTCTCTCTTTTGAGAACGAGGGATTATGTCATTGAACACAAATTTCAGCAGGATTTTGTCAAGAGGGGTTAGGTCATTGTGGTTTATGTAGGTTTCCTCCGGGTCTCCTCCTAAATACTCCACTATTTCATCAATATTAGCATCAGGAATCGGGTTCCTTATCACATTATTTTTGAAATAAATATCATATCCAGTATTAGGCACATCAAACAGTTCAGCCAAATACATAGCATCAAACTCAATAGCCTTCCCATACACACAACAGTGAATAGTACCCTTAGAGTACTTAAAGCTTTTGCAACAATCTCTCATAGCATCAACATACAAACTGCGATTAAAACACTCACCCAACAGATTCACCCAATTTTCAGCTTCAAACAAATCCAACAATTCATAAAGCTTAACAGATTTACACCAAGGTAAATTAAGTGCCAAACCTGTCACGAAGTGGTCACTGATTTTCTCCTGTTTCTTCATAGAGGCAGGCTTGTCTTGATAGTTGACACCCATCTCCGAAACGCTTTCCTCCTCTTCTTGCATGTCCTCGATTTTTCTTTTTCGGGAAGAATTAGACTCAGTAGGAGATTCCTTCTTTTGAGGCTCAGGATTTTGAGGCTCAGGATTTTGAGTTTCGGGGATGATTTCCATGGTGATTTCTAGAATAGGGTTTGTGTGTTCTTCGGCTTCAGTTTGGGTTTTTGGTGAGACAGACATTGGTGAGAAATTTTGATCGGAGTGATGAGAGAGAGGGTAATTTTTGAGTGGTGTAAATTTTGGTGAGGCTGACATGTTTTTATGGTGGAGGTAACTTGAGGGAGTGAATAAGTGAGGTGTCGTTTGAGAGGTGAGGTGAATTTAGTTGATTAGACACTCCTATTTAACGCTTAGGGAAACGCAAACCGTGTTTCAAGATAGTAATGGATGTGGGCAACTTTTTGAACAAAAGATAATGATGAATTTTGATATATTCATCTGAATTTAGTGTTTAAAAAAATGGAATTTTGAAGATCAGATAAACAGAATAATTTTATCTTTTGAATTCAATTAATAAACCACTTGCAAATACAACTTGATACACGGAACAATTCAACAAGGCTCATGCAATCAATTTTGGATTTCTAATATCTATTACTTTCAAATTTACATGCCCTTAGTAAATGTTACTCTTGCTCACAACTTGCCTTAACTATGTAATTAAACATATAACACTTGTGCACAGTATACAATAGTTTAAGCACGTCAGTTTTAGTTTCATACCTGAGGGAACTTGATGCATTTTTCTTAGTATAACTTAATCATCCCAAGTTCCATTCTCATCTTCTCATGCCTTTCTCTATTCAAGGGTTTTGTTAATATATCTGCAATTTGATTGTCAGTTTGGCAGAAATCTAATTTAATCAAACCCTTTTCAACATTATCCTTAAGGAAATGATGCCTTATATGAATATGCTTAACTCTTGAATGATGGACTGGATCTTTAGATATGCAAATTGCACTAGTGTTATCACAGTAGATAGTAATGCAATTGAATTTAATACCAAAGTCACGTAACTGTTGTTTTATCCAGAGGAATTGAGAGCAACAAGCAGCTGCTGCTACATACTCAGCCTCTGCAGTAGACAATGCAACAGTATTTTGCTTCTTGGAACCCCAAGAAACTAGATAAGAGCCAAGGAACTGAACCATACCTGAGGTGCTTTTCCTATTGACTAGGTCACTTGCATAGTCAGCATCTGTGAATCCTCTAAGCATAAAGTCATCACTTCTAGGATAGAACAGAAACAGGTCATCTGTTCCTTTGAGGTATCTCAAAATTCTCTTAACAGCCGTTAGATGTGATTCTTTAGGATTAGACTAAAATCTAGCACACAATCCAACACTAAAGGAAATGTCAGGCCTACTGGCTGTTAGATATAACAATGAACCGATCATACCTCTGTAAGTGGTTTGATCCACACTTGTTCCTTGTGGATCCTCATCAAGTCTTGTTGCTGTTCCCATAGGAGTATGATTTGTCTTGGCATTTTCCATGTTGTACTTCTTCAGAAGTTCCTTGACATACTTCTGTTGGTGAATCATTATTCCTTCAGCTGTTTGCTTTATTTGAAGTCCAAGGAAGAAATTTAATTCACCCATCATGCTCATCTCAAAATCACCACCCATTAGCTCAGCAAAGTACTTGCACAAACCATTGTTAGTAGCACCAAATATAATATCATCTACATAGATCTGTACAACTAACAAATCAGTTCCTCGAGATTTAAGAAAAAGAGTTTTGTCTACTTTTCCTCTTTTGAAATCATTTTTCAGTAGGAACTTTGAAAGCCTTTCATACCAGGATCTTGGAGCTTGTTTAAGCTCGTAGAGAGCTTTATCATGCTTAAAAACATGATTTGGAAATTTAGGATTTTCGAAACCTGGAGGTTGTTCAACAAACACCTCCTCATTTAAGAAACCATTTAGAAAAGCACATTTCACATCCATTTGATAGAGTTTGAAACCCATAAAAGAAGCAAAAGCCACTAGGATTCTAATAGCTTCTAATCTAGCTACAGGTGCAAAGGTTTCATCGAAATCAATACCTTCCTGTTGGTTGTAGCCCTTCACAACCAATCTAGCCTTGTTCCTTACTATGGTGCCATGTTCATCAAGCTTGTTCCTGAACACCCATTTGAGCCCAATTATTTTCTTTCCCTTAGGCTTTGGCTCAAGGTGCCAGACCTTGTTCCTTTCGAACTCATTGAGTTCCTCTTGCGTGGCCACTATCCAATCAACATCTCCTAAGGCTTCTTGATGATTTCTTGGTTCTAGAATGGACAGAAATGCATGGAATGCGCAGTAATTCCTCATTTGTGATCTTGTTTGAGTTCCTTTTCCTATATCACTGATAATTAGATCAGTTGGATGGGAACCTCGATACCTGAATGGCCTGGGTTGGAATTCCCTTGCTGGAACTCCAATTTGAGGAGCTTCTGTTTCTGTTCCTTCTGCTTCTTCTGCTTGTTCCTCATTCAACTGTTCATCTGATTGAGGAACCTCTCCATTTTCTTGATGTTCCTCTTCTGGAGCAGGCTGCTTTTCCTTGGTTTGCTTTTGAGTCTCTTCTTCATCCCTGTCTCTTATCAATCCAATTTCAAAATCATTATCATCTTCTCATTCCTGCACACTCACAAACTGGTTAACTTCATAAAAAATTATATGAATGCTTTCCTCAACACACATTGAGCTTTTATTGTAAACTCTATAAGCTTTGCTATCAGAGGCATATCCTAGAAATATGGCCTCCTCACTTCTTTCATCAAATTTCCCTAGGTTTTTCTTACCATTGTTATGTACAAAGCACTTACAACCAAAGGCTCTAAGATGAGATATGTTTGGCTTTCTTCTCCTGAATAGTTCATAGGGAGTCTTGTTGATGATACTTCTGATTGTTACCCTGTTAAGGATGTAACATGTTGTATTCACGGCTTCAGCCCAGAAGTTCCTTGGCAGTCCACTTGCAATCAGCATCGTTCTAGCCATTTCCTCAAGGGTTCGATTCTTCCTTTCTACAACTCCATTCTATTGGGGAGTCCTTGGAGCTGAGAAGTTATGATTCATGCCAGTTTCCCTACAAAACTCATCGAATCTTGAGTTCTCAAATTCAGTTCCGTGATCTGATCTGAGATGGACTATGGAGTGACCACTGATTTTCTGTATTTTCTTGGCAAAGGCAACAAACTCGTTAAAAGTTTCATCTTTACTAGCAAGAAAAATAACCCAAGTGAATCTAGAATAATCATCAACAATAACCAAAACATATTTCTTGCCACTCGTGCTTTGAATTCTCATGGGACCACACAAATCCATATGGATTAATTCCAAAGGCTTTGTAGTGCTCACCATTTTCTTCAATTTAAAAGATGAGCGAACATGCTTGCCTTTCACACATGCATCACAAACTTTGTTCTGTAGGAACTTGATAATAGGAAGTCCCACAACCAAGTTCCTTGACCTTAGCTTGTCCAGTAATGAAAAGCTAGCATGTCCAAAACGTTATGCCATAGCAGGGGATCATCGTCAACAACACTCAGACATGTAAGGATGTTCCTTGGGATTAAGTTGAGGTCAACTGTATAAGTGTTCCCTCTTCTTGTTCCTTCTAGAACAACCTTTCCTGACTTGTTGTTGATGATGTTACAAGAATCAGAAGTAAAACTTACAGAGTTTCCTTTGTCACAAAATTGTGATATACTGAGCAAATTGTGCATTAAGCCCTCGACCAGGAACACATTATCAATGGAATGAGATTTTGATCTACCAAATTTGCCTTTTCCAATGATCTCGCCCTTCTTATTATCCCCAAAGGTTACTGTTCCTCCAGGGTAGTCTTCTAGTGAGAGGAATTTTGATTTTTCACCTGTCATATGCTTTGAACAACCGCTGTCGAGATACCACGAGTTGTTCCCCCTCACTAGGACCTGCAAGAAAACTAAGCATTAGGATCAGGAACCCAGGTTTCCTTGGGTTCCTTAGACATGGATGCAATATCAGTTTTCTTGACCCACACTTGTTTTACATTTCTTTTATCAGCTTCTTCTCTTATCCTACAGTGTCCATAGAGATGTTCAGTCTTACCACAAAAAGTGCATACCTTCATGCTAGGAAGCTCAACATATTTCTTTTGCTTACCTTTCTTGGTCATATAACCAAGACCTTCAGTTCTTTTTCCTTGAGCTTCAGCTATCCACTTAGGTATGACTTTTGGGTCAATAATTTTATCCTTTCTAGCATTCAGTTCCGATTCAAGTTGATCCTTTTGGGTTTTTAAAGTAGAAAGCTCATTTTTCAAATTTTCAAAATCAACATTGAATTTAAGCAATTGATCGCTTGAGGAATTGCTAGAACTGATATCAGAATTTATGAGCTTATACTGAGTTAATTCAACATTCAGAATAATACATTCATTCTTAATCCTATCAGCTATCTCAGTTATGTGTTTGTATTTAAAATCAAGCTCTCTTAATTTGCTTTGAGACTTGGCATAGGCTGTTTCCAACCAAGCACCATGTTCTTTGCAAACCTTAAGAGCTTTTTCACATTTGTTCAACTTTACACATGTATCTCTAAAGAATTCTTCTTCTTCAAGACATATATCTATTAAGACATCTTTAGAGAGAGTTTTAAGCTGTTTAGGATCAAGAAATACCTCTTTCTTGAGTTCCTCAAGGTAAGCTTTTTCATCATCTAATTTGGCCATCAAACAAAGATTGGCCGTCTCCTCTTCTGGCTGGTCATCATCTTCTTCTTCACTCTCTGAGTCTCCCCAGGCTGCTATCATGGCCTTCCTCATGTCTGACTTCTGATAGTTTGCTTTGCTGAATTTTTCTCTTCCATGTTCCTTAGCCTTTCCTTTTCCTTTATCATTTTCCCAAAGGGGACAGTCTCTGATAAAGTGATCTGGGGATCCACACTTGTGGCAGCTGTAGTCAGGCTTTGGATTTGAGGTCTTTTTCCCGAAGTTCCTTGAGGTTCGGCTTTTCTTGAACATCTTTTTGAATCTTCGCACAATTAGGGCAGCCTCATCCTCGTCCACTTCTGAGTCTTCCTTCTCATCCGCCTTAAGAGCCAATCCCTTGTTCCTCATGGGTTCATTGTTGACTCCAAGGTGTAGCTCATGAGTCATGAGAGAACCTGCTAGTTGTTCAATATTGAACTTGGTAAAGTCCTTCATTTCCTGAAGGGCTGTCACCTTAGCTCTCCACCTCTCATCTTGTGGAAGACTTCTAAGAATCTTCCTAACCTGCTCATCTGTAGGAATCTGTCTACCAAGGGAAACCAACTCATTTATGATGTTAGTAAAACGGGTTAGCATCTCTTGAATGGTTTCCTTAGGCTGCATTTCAAATCTTTCATACTTGGACATAAGTAGATCGATTTTTGAGCGTTTAACCTCATTAGCTCCTTCATGAGTAATCTGCAGCAAATCCCATATTTTCTTAGCGTTCTTGCACCCCATAACACGATTGTGTTCGTGAGGTCCAAGTCCACAGTGGAGCAATTTCACAGCCATAGCATTTATTTCCATTTTCTCAAAATCCTCTTTTTCATATTCAGACATAGGCTTAGGGATTACCTCATTCTGAGCATTAGTTTTGGTGACTTCGAAATCACCAACCTCGATGACCTTCCAGACTTGGTAGTTCTCTGCCTTGATAAATATCTCCATGCGGTTCTTCCAGTAAGTATAGAACTTGCCGTTGAACATAGAAGGCCTCTGTGTTGAGTATCCTTCCTCGAGCTTCTCATGAGTATTCATTTTCTCCAAGACCTTTCTTCTTCAGGGTTTCCTGATTTTCCTAGAAGTTAGGCTCTGATACCAATTGTTGTTTTAATGAATACTACAAGAAGGGGGGGTTGAATTGTAGTATGAGAATTTAGCCAATCTTTTTGCGGAATTAAACTTACGTTAGCTAAAGGAACTGAGAGATTAACTAAAGGAACTAAAGAATGCAAGAGAGATTTTATGTGGAAAACTCCTTGGCCCTAACAAGGAGAAAAACCACGACCACTTGGGATTTTGGGAAAAGAATCTTCACTATAATAGGGCAAATGATCCTATTACAAGCTAAAGGCTCAAACTCAAGTTCCTCTACGAACTTGAGACCCTGAGGAACAAGTCACCCAACTTGTTACTCTTCTCTTCTCTTTCTCTCTTCTCACTTCTCTGTTCTCTCTTCTCTTTCTCTTCTCTTTCTCTTCTCTTTCTCTTCTCTTTCTCTTCTCTCTCTCTCTTCTCTTTCTCATACACAAACGTTCACTCGAACTTCCCCATTCCCAATTACAACTCGAAAGAAAAACAAACTCTAGTATAAGAACATTTAGAACACTCTAATAGACTTGTATGGAATTGGACTCTTAACTCGAATAAAAGATGAAAACTTATGTGAGCAAAGGGTGAGATTTTCCATCTGAAATCAACAACTATTTATAGACCAAAATTTGTTTAGGAAAAACTTCTTTGTGCAGCAATTCCATTACGCCACTTCTCATACCCACTAAGAAGATCATGTCCCTAAAATTAAGGGACCATGAACACCTCAATGTGCAAGACCATGTCTAGAAGAAGAACATGGGAGAGTAGGCCGCAAGTTTAGAGAAAACGTGGAGATTTTATTTTGTCAAAAACATTTTCCGAAAATCAGAAAAAGAAAATAAAATCTTTTTAATTTAAGAAAAAGATAAAATTTAAATTGCAATAGTTTTCCTAAAAACTAGCATGCACAATATTTTATCCTAAGACCAATTCCATACTGATTTTTTTGAGTGTAACTAACTTTCTTATACTTTCATAAATCCTAAGATATATAAAATATTTAGTCTTCATGTTTCTCTGATGAAGCTTCTACTCCGAGGCTTCTGTTCCTTGGAAGGAACTTCTCTTCTCCAGTCTTCATTTCTGAAGCGCCAGTTCCTGTGAGGGAACTCTTCTCTATGGCTAGCTCTGCTTCTGGCCTTCTTGTTCCTCATGGTATTTTTACAAGACACTTCATTCTCCTAGTCTTCGTAACTGAGTACACACTTAAACAATCAAGCTCTGATTAGTTTGTAAGTAAGTGAGGTTGTGTCATCATCAAAATCATTAAGTCCAACAATTAGATCTCTCCAAACTGAACGAGACAAGTTGTCAAATGAAAATGGAGAATTGAAGATAGAGATTGGCCGATTATGTACTTTAAATGAGAAAATGTATGCAAAACACCTCCAATTATTTGTACGACTTATTATGATTCTTATTGGTGTTATTGCTTTAATAATTGTGTTTTTGAATTTTAGGATGTAATGAATGTATGGTCAGCAATAATGTTGTTTTCAATCTTCTATTAAAAAATCACTTTTTAAATAAAATTTGTTGAAATTCCAATGACAAAGTGGAGGAGAAGCTTTATTTGTGAGACTACGTAACAAGTAAGTCATTACTAATCATAAATGTGCAGATCTGTTCACAAAAAATACACTTCCTAGCAAGGGTCATATTGATTTTATTGTTATGAAAAACTTTTTATTGTAATCTATTATTTGCGGGATGTTATTGTAATTCATAAAATTGTTTACTATCTTGAAATATCACAAAATTTAATTGTTATAAACATGGATATGTAATTGTGATTACCTGTATATATCAAAATGACTACTTTTAGGATTAAAATAAAAAGAAACTAAAATGTAATGTTTAACTACATCAGATTAAGCACACCAATTTAATTAAAAAGTGATAGTAGCAATGAATAAATATTTAACACAAGACCCATTGTCATTTAAAGCTAAAAAAATATGATACAGAAGTTGATTTAAAATGATAAATGGCAAAGAATGGAGTGAAGAGAGACACATAGAACATACATGACAATAATACCTAAATAAGGACATTACAACATTCTAAATTGGAGACATAATCTGATAATTTTTGCATACGCATTGCTGTTATCACGAAGTATTTGTTCCCAATGATAACCGAGGACGCTAACAATAAACCCAAACACAAGATCCAACACCAGCTGAAGGAGAAATACATTGGCAACAAGCCACAGTGTCGATATCCACGATCAAATCAAGGAACGCCTAGAACGTGGATGGCCCTGTGATGTTGATAAACAAAACTACATAATTCAGTAGTCAAAAAACATAATTGAGTAAAAATAAAGTTATTGAATGTTGCACAATTTTACCCCCGCAATCCTTTGTCATTATTCAATGATTAATTGTACTTAAGTGTATCCATACCTTGAAATATAGATCCATCTTGACAAAATCAGACCTCGTGCTCCTCTTGTCAACAGCTATTGTCTCATCTTTCCAGAGCACCACTACACCGCCACACAGACCCTCCGGTCATGTCCAAATAAAACGATAGTTACCGGGTAACTCACGAACAAGAGTATTAACATTAAGGATACTTTGTCTGGTCTCAAGTAAGACAACAATACCTGGCCTATGAAGGTCAAACAATCGCAGAAAGTGCTCAGCAAAAGATGGCCTTGCGAGGCCACGGACGTTCCAGCAACATATAAATGTGTCACTAGGCACGGGGAACCGTGGAGCGTTAACAAGAGATGCACCCCTAGTACCTTGAAAGGGTGTGAAATCAACCTTGTGATAGCCTGCGACATACTCGGTGTGTCTATCAAAGGCAACCCAAATATGCATGATATGGGGGAAAGAAGGAACTTTCACCACCTGTAATGCATCAGTGTATGTTCCAATGCAAAACCTAACTGGATTTTGGTCTAACTCCATCACAGGAACATCGAAATTTAAGACGGGTCTCGGGTCAACCACATGAAATGAGGGGACCGCATATTATAAGCTTCCTTGATATCCAAGACACCACCTTAAGAAGCTATGAAACTCATCCCGAATAGGGTATATGTCATGGTAATTTGGTAAGTGAGAAGGTCGTACTACGCCTTCGACACCTAGAGGACGCATAAACAAGTTTGTGAGGCCTATGTTGGCAGGGTTAGCAGGATTGATAATGAGAAAAGCAATTGTTTCAAGGTTAATCACGTTAAATTTTGTTGGGTCTGAGTTGTCTTGAAGAAGATATTGAAATGTTGTGAAGTCCATCTCAGAAACAAGTCCTGAGGACGGATTGAAGTACAAGAAAGCAAATATTCCGGGTCTATTTCTCGCTCGCCTAGGCATGGTAAAGTTGGAAGGGGATAGAAGGTGATGATGAATAGGGCAAATTATGTGAAAAGGGGTAAGAGGTTACACTAATATGTTGCCAATAAATTGGAGATATGGAATAAGAAGGCGAGGGATCTTGAATTTATAGCAGTATAAGGAACAACTACATGGGGCGAAGTGTCTAAACGCAAATTTTTTTGAAAAGTAACACAAGTATTTTAGCTTATGTGGTTCTTATTGTCCGAATATCTGTGTACGTGACATTCGACGTCATGTGTTCAAAAACCTATGATTTTATATAACATCCAATGTTATTAATCTAAAATTATTTATCTCTATTACATTTAGTTGTTATCCTTAAAAAACATACTTTGTAAAAACATGTACAATAAATAATTTGAAATTCGTAAATCAACATACTTACCAATATTATTAAGGAGCCCTAACCACATGCATAATTTTTTTTGAAAATTAATTAACAAAGACTTTTATCTCCAGTAAATTATCATAACACATAATTACTAAGGTTCCTAGTTTGTGTCATAAAAAAAAACATATAAATTGGATCCTTATTAATTCTATATCTTGATAATTTACTAAATCTCAACTTCTTGTACGTGTTTATTTATTGTGCCTCCTTATTTGTATAGGTATGAATAGGTGAATAAATATTTAGTTACCATGTGCGGTATGTTATGAACATTGAAAACAAACAACTAAATCCACTCATAAGTTTGTACTTGTATTTGACCATGTCCAATGATGAGACTATGTGAGTATTCTTAGAGAATTGCAATGTATATACCATTAAGTTGGTATCATAAAATTAACATCTCCAAAAAAAAAAATGTTAAGTGTAGATACCCATGAAATATGTGTGTCATTTGACAAAAAATTGTGGTCACCTTATCAGTATTCTAATACGGAGTATATGATGTAATTTATTTAATTTTTAACCTTATTATATTTTAATCTTAGAATATTTGATCTATAAAAAGAAATGGAATTACTGAACAGTAACTTGAAAGGGACATTTTTATCTTTTAAGATAGTATCACTAACGAAAAATTATGCTTCACTTGTTTTTCTAAACTAGGATGTGTATATGGTTTCACAATTGGAGGTTTAGGATTAGAATTAATTTAGTATTTAAATACTCAAATTTAAGTCTAGCCATTTGAGATGGTCTTAGAATACAATTATAGTTGATAAGTGTCGAAAACTGATAATATACTCATTGATTTTCTTCCCTTGTAAAAACATACAAATAAAAGTTCTTAAAATCGAACAATATTGAAATTATTCTATTATATAAATTATGCATCTATATGGTTTCATTTATTACTCCATATCATGTTTTTACATGAATTTTCTATTAATTATAAATTGATGTAAGAAAATAATGTAATTATGTAAAGAATGAGCGAGATTGAAAAAATAATCCATTCAACGCACATGATTGTTCGTATTTTTGTTTAATCAAGTGTGTAAGGTGTAATTACTTTGATAAGCTAAGGGGGAGCTTACAAAACTTCCTAGTGCAATGTTTTCAGATTTAAATAACAGTTTTTATGGTATATTATTAATTTATTTAATAGAATTATAACTTCATAATTGCCAAAATATTGT